AAAAAAAAAAAAAAGCAAAACAAAAAGAAAACACACAACAACAACACTGTGAAGATACCTCTTGTAATAGAATTGCCTCATGCGGGCATGTAGGAAATCTCATGAGACCAACTCCAACCATTAGTAGACCATAACACCCAAGTGACACAATGAAGTAGAGAGGTAGCTAAAAGAAAACAAAGAAAAAGGACTGTAACTAAGAAGGGATATAATATTTTGAATATGCACACACACACACACACACACACACACATATCTCTCTCACTCTCACTCTCACTCTCACTCTCTCTCTCTCTCCCTCTCTCTCTCTCCCCTCTCTCTCTCTCTCTCTCTCTCTCTCTCTCTCTCTCTCTCTCTCTCTATATATATATATATATATATATATATGCTTACCAACCAAGTGTAGCTCTGTGGAAGTACCGATGCTTGTAACAGGCTAATCCAGAAAGCTGATAGAGCTACCAACAAAGCCATAATCTTTACTATGTGCTTCATTTGATCTTTTTCTGCACAAAGACAGATACTTTAAGCTCAGTCTCCAAGGTAGTGGAAGTTACCCTTACATACATTTAAGCAAAACTAGATTAGTTTTCTTTTTATCCAAGGAATGAATTTCATTCAACAACATCAATGGTTAGGAGATCAATGCACGACCCACAGTGATTCTGAATCCTATTTATACTGCCATCAGAAGGAATAGGTATGCTATTTTTTTCACGTCCTTCCAGAAACTTGAACGGAGGGAATCAAAGCCCTTGCGCAATATTCCCAATCATCATACGGCAGATTAAATGACTTCGAATGAAGAACATTTTACAGGTTATTAATGAATAAGATACCCTCACTAAATAGCTCATCTGACTAAAAGAATATGATCAATATTAAAGTAGAAAGAGCATCACAATTATGTAGCACTCCACCATTTTTCCAGGGAAAACCGAAAACCAATGCAAGATTTATTTAATTTTACAGATTTGACAGTATAGAAGTAAGAAAGCGAAGAAAAATGTATAAACTGGAAGCTCATTGAACAAACTTACGTGTATAACATGAATTATAAACATTCTTTAAGTTTCAAAAGGCAACACAAGGAACATATTTCATTCAACAATGTCAATGGTCAAGATATTAATGCACGACCTATAGTGAACTTGAATCCTATTTATACTGCCATCAGTTGGAAAAGGTATGTCAATTTTTTTTCACGTCCCTTCCCGAAATGTGAAAGGAGAGAATCAAAGCCCTTGCGCAATAATCCAATCATCATATGGCAGATCAAGAAACTTCAAAGGAAGAGCATTTTACAGGTTAACATATGAATAATATCCCCTCACTAATTATCTCATCTAACAAAAAGAATGCGATCAAGATAACAGATAAGGGTAATCACAAGTCTGCCTAAACTATGTAGCACTCCACCATTTAAGCAGGGAAAACAAATGCACGATTTCCTTAATTTTCACAAATTGGCAGGCAAGAAGTAAAAAGCGGAAGTAAAGTACAAACTGGTAGCTCATTGAACAATCTGCCCCGTATAAAATGAATTATATAAACATTTTTTTAACTTTCAAAAGGCAATGCAAGGAATGAATTTCATTCAACAATGTGAATGGTTACGATATTAATGCACGACCCATAGCGATCCCAAATCCTATTTATACTGCCATCAGAAGGAACAACAGGTAAGCTAATTTTTTTCACGTCCCTTCAAAAAATATGAATGGACTGAATCAAAGCCCTTGCGCAATATACCAATCATCATATGGCAGATCAAGAAACATTAAATGAAGAATATTTTACAGGTTATTACACGGATAAGATGTCCTCGCTAATTAGCAAGATCCTTATTTTTATCATTTGGGTAAAGAAGACAGGTATACCTGATTGGATATTCCGAAATTAGGAGATATATATGGAAAAATTGATTGAAATGCGGTTGAGAAAGGCCTGAATGAGACGGCTAGAGATAATCTGCTTGTATATCCTGTTAGTGGCGGCGGCGGCGGCGGCCAAATCGCGGCGGTGGTAGATCGGCTCGAGTGGGGGCGTTCGTGTTGTGATGTAGGGTTTACTGAGTGAGAAAATGCATGTGCGTTCGATTAGACAAAACACGTTGCTTGGAATGGATCTCTCCTAGCCCACTGCTCAACGGGCTTGAATAGAGTTAAACTAATCGATAGCTCGATTTGTTAACCAGCATTCATGGGCCCAATTAGATTAATGAAATTAAGTAGAAAGAAGTCGAGATGTGTTATGATAAGTGGAATTTAGGGAAAAATTTATAACTACTCCTCTTTAACAATAATTTTACATAACAGTTGCAAGTCATACATAATACCTAATTTACTCCAAATATTAGACAAAAATAGGCAGCCAAAAAAAAAAAACCACTCTCTCTCTCTCTCATCCTATATTTTCTCTTATTTTTCTTCTCTTTCTTCTTTCTCTCTCCTACTTCTCTCTTCACGTTCTTCTTCTTCTTCTTCCCTTTTGTTCTTCTTTTAATGTTTCTCCTTCTTCTTTCTTCTTCTTTTTCTTCTCTTCAAACCTTATTACCTAAACTTAAAAGCAAGTGATTATATATATATATGTATATATATATACATACGTAACAATTAAATTAAATAAAAGCAAGAAAAAATTATAAAATTAAGTTAACAACCACAACAATAGTTATAAAATAGAATACATACATATTATATGCATTCAAGAAATTATATGAAAACAAATAAATAAAAAATCTTCCATGTAACAACAAAGCAATAATAACATTTAATGAACAAGAACACAACAGTAAAACAACATAAAAATAATTAAATGATACGATAGCAATATTTAAGTTAAAAAAAAAAAAGATTGATGAATTGGTTATGTACCTACATAACAATCAACAAAAAGGTTTGTTATTATAACTTAAAAAATTAATGATGTATATTATGAAAAAAGAAACAAGATAGGTATCAAAAAACAACAATAAAACAACTATCAAGCAACATGCAAATAACTATC